ACTCCTGTGATTACAAAATCACTGTCATTTAGGCCTCACTTTGTCAGTCTAAATGCAATCCCTTCTCAATGCACAAACTCTGCCTTTTGTTTCGGAGGGTGAACCTCAGCAAAGCCAGAACTGCTACTTCCATTAAGTCATATTATCAGATAAGAAATACTTGTTATACCTTGTCAAAGATGGCACGGCTTTTCATTGCAAAACACCTGAAGCCAATACATGAAAATGTGTTCAAACAGTCTAGTCTGTTTGAAAAATATGAATCAGTCCTGCTGTGGTAATTATCAGGATGTGGGATGAAAAAACAAACTCCCAGGAGTCCCAGCAGAAAGCAGAACAGATCAACAGGATCCTAAACTAACTCAAACAATCCTATTTAGTCTCAAATGTTGTTGCACTGACCAACAGAAAAATCTTTTAAGAAGGAAAAAAAAAAAAAAAGAATGAAACGGCATCTTCGAACAAGAAAGGGAATCACAACAAAGGCAATGTGCAGCTGGAAATTCCCATCTACCTTGCTTCACACTGACCTCCTATGTAGATGAATAGTTGGATAAATATTAGTACTGCTGAATACTTTGGATACTGCTGTGGCCATACTAGGAAACATTCTTAACAGCTACTGCTTTCAATCTCCTCATGAAAATACACTATGTATTCGTCTCCCTGGTCTCCTCTTTCTGTCTTGAGTTAAAACATAAGAGCAGATCCTAAACTAATGTAAACATATATCATTGCACTAATTTTAGAAAGAACAATGTTAAGTGGCACGGGGTGAGAACCTGCATAATGCCATAATTTCAAGGGAATTTCATTAAAATCTGGGACAGAAAGTTGAATTCCTCAGAATATCTGGAAGTATGCCCAATTTTGAGCCTGTTTTATTGTAATAAAAATGAACATCTGGCAGATTAAAGCCATGAAGAATAAAGGGAGTAAGGTAGTATTTAACAGAACTGGAAGGAGCCAGATTTCATTTAGCCACAAAACACTCAAATCACCGTCTGAAACATGCTGCATAATCACATAATAATAATTTTATTCATTTGCCAGTAAGAGACTGGTATACTGCAAAAATGAAGAACTGCTGTTGAAGCACTATTTCCCTGCCTCTCAGCAGATATTTACAATTGCTACTCATTTGGCATCCCACATTCACCTGGCTCTATTTTTGCATGCCTGAATGAATATTCCAGGTTATAGGAAAGGACTGGCCAATTGTACATGTGGAAATAACATACCTAGAATGGGTCAGAATTCACAGAATGCAAAACAAAATGGAACTTCCTAACACCTTCATTAGCCAAGAGCCAAACCGAGTAGGTCATTTTACACAGCTAAAAGGGAAAGCTGAGAACCGGCTTACACCACCCCCACATTCTTGTTACGTTAGGCTTTATCCAATGTATTGGGACAGCTGATTTTTGCCCATTAGCTTGAAACATCTTCACCAGACTACTCCAATCCATTTTGCTCTATTTTCACTTCTCCCAGGATGGCTGCAGGAGAGACTTTTATGTGAACTGTCATCAAAGTCAAGCTAAAACATTCTGGGCTAAAAGGTGCTCGGGTAAATCTGGGCCTTTGGAAATTACATTCTACTAAGAACTGACTTTATTTCTATAGTCCTTTCTCTGTTGCTCCCCAGTCTATTAATATTTTTTATACTTCTAGGGGCAGAAACTGAACTTCCCCACCCTTGCTGTGAAATTCTGACTATATCTTCAGTTACTTCTTAAGTGAAATGGAAGAAACAGAGCAAACTACATATATATCGACACATATATATTATACATATATAATGTATACAGTTTTTCACAACGTGGTGATCCAACAAGGACACCAGGGAACATAAAACATGAACTGCAACTGAAATACATCGATTGTGATGCCTCAAGGTGGAAAACACTCATTCAGCTGTGAGACTGCAGGAACAAAAGTGGTATTTCTGGAAAAAACACACACAAACATTTGAGGAAGTGGGGGAGGAGGAAAAACAGAACTTCAGAGAAAGCCCCCCTTTTTTGTGACCATAACGGTGCTATTTTTAACCTCAAAATGGAAATAGCTCCATAATAGCCATACCACAAATACTGTCATCACCCTTTGCCTCCTCAGATCTCACCTCTGTCAGAGCCAAAAGGAACAAGTGTCTGTGCTGTCCACAGAGTCATTTCTCCTGCTGCCAGGAACTGCAGTTGTGGAGGTGCTTTTGCAACGCTGACACTTGTTCCTTTCCACTAGAGCTCAGCACTGAGATCAACTAATTTCACAGTCTCCTCAGAACGTCACCTGAAGGCACCAGCTCTGTCCTTGAAAGAGACTTTCATAACTTCCTAGCAATGCTGTCACTAGGAACAGAAATACTTCCATCTGAGCTAGAGATCACGGATCTGCCAGCTCACGCTGGACTCTGGCTGAATTCCACTGAATATGAAATGGCCCTGCAAAATAGTGCAAGACCTGGGAAACAGGAATGGTGACTGAGAACAGTTAAATCTGAGACCACACGTAGAAACGAGGAGCACATATTTGGCCCTGTATGTACAATGGATTAAGACTATAAATATTGAGACAAACAAACAAGCCTGGATGGCTTCTGTCTGTCCCTATCACGCCCAGAACAAAGAAACCTCACCAAAAGATTTAAAAGGCCCATCAGTAGTAGAACGTGTATTTTACAATAAATGGTTTTTCATTTGACACACCATCACAATTACATGCATAAATGCTGGATTTTTACAGTATCCTACATGTTATCTCACTATTACAGAATAAAAGATAAAAAATAGTTTAACTTAAGCTTACACAGAATTGTTTATCCAGGGCTAACAATTTCCTGTTTCTTCTACAGACGAAAACATTTCAGAGATAATGCAGGCATTGGTATGTATCTAAACCAAACAGTTTCTCAATATAGCACATCTCAATATAGCACCATGAATGGGTACAGATCTGCAATAAAAGCAAAGCAGCTTCAGTTGGCTTTACCTTACTTGGCCTGGGTGTGGAACGCATATCCGAGGAAGCAGAGCAAAAAGCATTGGAAGAAAAAGCAGAATTTCAGTGTTAACTGAAGGAACAGCAGTGAAGGATAATCAGAAATGTCTCTAGAATTTCTCGAACCATGAGGGTGTGATTATGTCAATGTTACAATTAGTTCGGCAGGATGCTACAAATAAAATACAGAGCTGCTAGATCATTCCGTAAACGAGTATAAGGATCATAAATCTGAGTAACAAAAGTACCTCTACACACACACTTCTAACTCTAAAGCCCCTTTCAAAGTGGCACCTACTACAGCTATCTTCTCCTAAAAAGTATTTTTGTAAATCAGCTATATGATCAGAAGTATAAAAGTTTGTATTTGCAGTGAAACTCTTTCTAGCATAATGGCATATTTCCTTCTAATGAAATGTCAGAGAACTGGCCTTCATTAGCAGTACTCTTAAACCAGATTAATTTCACTGTACAAGCTTGTTTCTGTAAGACAAAAGTAAGTACAGCCACTATAATTTCATGTTATTCTTTTTGTCCAGTCCTATAACAGTTGTTCTGAGTAGAACTTTTAAGAACCTTCTTCTATTCTAGCTAATTCTTAATTTCCTACTGTTTAAGCCTTTTTACTTTCCCTAAAAAATAATTTTAAAAATATAACTTGAAAGCTTGGGAGCAATATAGCAATGTTTCTGAAAGAGAGAGGCTCTAACAAATGAACTGTTAACATTTGCACAATTATCTGAGGAGGGCAAGGCTAAATTATTTCTCTATTCTTCCCACATTAAACTGAAACAGATGTAGATGGAAGAAAGAGAAGTACACGACAGATGAAGACAGGCTCACAGCCAGAGGTAGGTCTGCCAAGAGTGACAAAGGAGGCAGAGGGAAAGACGGAAACTTGCAGGACTGTAGCTGTTTTGGAGAACTTAAGATGGCCAGGAGTCCTGCCTCATCGCTTCTCCCTTATCGGTCCATTCCTGGGTATTAATATGCTGCACCACTTTGCTGTGCAGAGATGTCCAAACGAGTCGTTAAATACATTATCTAAGTCCCAGCAGAAGCGTGGATGTTTGCTATGAAGAAACCTTGCTCTGAAAACTTTACATTATGAATAGACAAGCTAGGTAAAGGAGAGGCACACAGAAAAGAAATTACTTGTTGAAGGTTACATGAAGACCTCCAACTTTCCAACTATACCCACTGACAAGATGCACTTTATGTTCCTGGTCCTGCATAACGTACTGGAACACTGCTGGTCTTAGTAAAAGGGGAAAGACGTTTTCTTTCACAGGGGATGGCATGTCTGTCTCTTTAAAACATTTCCTGCCTCTCCAGCTCTCTCTTATTCAGGAACAGCTGCTCATGAACTCTCTCACAGACCCAGAGCAGCAGGAGAATGGACCAGAACGAGGTGCTGCAGTTTGTACCGCTACGCCAAACCTTGGCAACCTATTCCATTGAGAAACGGAATTACGAGCAGAATGTGTGAGAATGAATTCCGCAGAAGAAACTGAAAAATTAAGTAACAGTAGCCCAGTATGAACAGTTACGTTGTTCTTTCTCAATCGGTGAAGGAAAACGTTAGCAACTCTTAATCACTAATGTAGACAAAGGTGTTCTTACTCAGCTACTAACTACTGAAAACTTACTAACTTGAAGGGCAGATTTAGTAAGCAGTGGAAATGCTGGATAACAGAAATGGTATCTGCCCAGATCTGAAAAAAGCACCACCAGTTAGATGCAGCAGTTAAAAGCTCTCTCATGTAATTTTGATTGTAATTCTTCTCTGCCTGCAATTATGAAGTCTGCTGTTACACTTTAAAATACCCTTTTTAAACACCAAAAAAGGAATTACACAACCTAGAGAGACAGAACGTCTAAAATTATAAAGCCAGCAAGAATCAGAAACATTTAGAATTCCAAAAACGGGAACCATATATTCAAAGTGGTAAAACACAAAACATAACTTGGAAAAAATGACAGAACTGAGTAAAAACCAAAACTCTTGCTTCTTTATTTCACCAGTTAACAGAATGATTTTGCTAATACATCTCAAAGCAACTTCTGAACAGGAGTGGAAGAAATCAAAGGCACTTGATTCTTTCTTACAGAAGGAAAAAATATTAACTGGGAGTATGCCATAGGAAATTGGTTAATTGTACTTTATTAAGTGACTCTAACCAGATGTTACACACCAGCTCATTAACCAGACAATGATTTAATGGCTTTCCTCAGCTGTAATTACAGAACAGAGATTAACAAAACTGCACTTAACACAGGTAGCTCCTCATTTAAATTAGTTTCACATGCCATTAAAGCTACTCAGCTTTTTGGCAAACTGCAGTTTTATAGATTGGTATATTATTTGCAATTATTGCTAATTGCTATGAGCAATGATTGCAATATCTCTGGAACACATCTGTTGCTGACACTATTTAAGTGTGACAATTTCATGGCTAACAACTCTGTACTTTCTATTTAAGTACCGCTACCCGTAAGTGACTGATATAAGTCTTCTAGCTTTATACTTGGAAATACAACAGGCACTTTATCTGATATAAGGGTTGATCTGTATTTTCTCTCGTAATGGGCCAGTTTATGTGTCCTAGGGTATTTAAAGCAGCAGCTGATCCTCAGACAGTCTCAACTGTATCAGGGGATTATTCATGTAATAAAAGTCCAATACAGACACTCATTATCAGGCGTTCATGTGGCTGGAATAGCTGAAAGCCTATGGCCAACACACAGGACGCATGCTAATGTCTCTGACACAAACCTGTTTGTGGGGGAAGGTTCTCCTTTACATACCACACCATCTGGAAACAAGGGGAGACAATAAACATCTCACTTTCAATAACAAACACATTTCAACTGCCCATGCTATAGTACATATGTGCTGTGCAGATACGTCCATACCCAACAGATGCTGGCTTTGGCATTTTCTCTATGCTGACTTCAGGGGATAACACATCAGAGAAGAGAGATGTTTTCAGTCTCTAGGAATGATGATGTAATCCCTGTTTGTGCCATGTCCATTGTAGCAGATAAATGTACAGCCTCGCAGGCTAAAGCAGCAGGCGTGGAGTGCACTGTGTTGTGGAGATAAGAGCTGGAGAAAGAGAAAAAACTCCAGTTAAAAAAAATACTGAAAAACCAGTCAAGACTCAAGCATGGACCTGACAGAGAACTTGCATCACTCATATTGATGGGATAAATGACAGAGTTTCTAAAGTTTTTTGAAGACCTAAGGTGCTGGTATAAATTCTGAACATTGCCGCAGGTAGGAAGCATTCCCATAGGGTCTGATGGCTACCTGACCTACGTTAACCTTGGCATCAACAACACTCATGCCCAATGCCGATCTTCAGAAAGCTGAAGTTTTCGTACTGTCCTTATGCATCTGAATGGGCATCACATATAAAAGGAAGCAAAGGATTAGGAGGAATGAAGCAAAGTGAATGTGTGACAGGGCACCTTAATAATAAAAACTATGGTCTATTGCATTTTTAAATGGAAAAAAATAGTATCTAAGGACATCAGCAGTCAGGCTGTGCACTTTGTGAATCCAGTGTCAGACTTTCATTCACTGAGGAACAGTTAAAACTGCTGTCAGCAACCATGCTAGTGGGAATTCACAATCTGTCCCACTGTGGTTAATATAATCCCCGAGGCAGCAGACACGTGGCAAGCTGGTGAGCGCTTGAATACAGTGGTCCTTTGTGACAGAAGCTGCAGAACAGGAAAGCTTACAGGGACCCCACGAAAGAATCCAAGACCATTCACCTGACACCACAGCAAAATCAGCTGTAGTGTGTCATTCCTGACAAACGTTTGTTTAACTTGCTCTTGCAGACCACCCAGAAGCCATGGTTTCACAGCATTCGCAGCAATCTGTTCCTGTGCCTCTCTCTCCTACTGTTCAGAAGCACATGGGTATACTGCCCATGGATGGTACATGTACTGTGGGCACTATGGACAGGAGGAAGTTGGTCTTTCTATAATGACTTCTTGTATATTTGTATATCATGATTCTTGGCAGACTCTTCTCAGCCAGGATAAGCAACCTACTAGTAGATTACCCTACTCGCAGTTGGATCAGATAGATCTCATGTCTGTCTTGTCAAGTTCCTCTGTCTCCTTCTCCTGATGGGCAACATCTTTCTTGGAGTACAGTGCCTAAAACAGGACCATGACTTTACAACTGGACAGGGCAGAAGGCTGACTTCACACATTTTTTCAAATCACATTCTTACTCAGAAATGCATTAAACTGATACTTATTTAAAACTAAAAGAGTATTTGTAATTTATGAACAATACAGCTACTTCTAGTGAGCACTGTGAAGGGTTTTCTCACAAATGACATCTGGGTCATTTCTTCTCTGCTTCCTACTGGGATGGGGCAGCTTTAATTTCTGCCAAGAATTCTGTCTGATGTTCTCTAAAACAGGAGAACAGATTCAAGAATTTCTCTGTACATGGGATCAAGGGCCTAAAAGATACTTTTTTAATTATTGAGTCCTGGCCCCCAACATTACACCACATTACAGCATGACCCCTGTCAAAAGTACTCAATGTACTCAGCTCCCTAAGGATGTCACCTGGGTTTTTTTTGCTCTCACTCTTTTTAAAAGAAAACTGAAATGGAAGTTCAGGACCTAATCTTCTCTACACTCATTCACAACTGGTTCATACTCATATGTGATTCTTCCAGTACTATTATCTTAAATAGCTCTCCTATCACTGTGATGCTAATTGATTTGACACAGTTTTAAAAAGTATTTATATCCCTCTGCCACATTTTTGCCAGAGAAACTGAAATAACTGAGGAGCCTTTTACACCATGACAGCCCAGGGACGTCCTTCCTCCTGCAATAAGCCCTCTGCCAGGAGTGCTAGTTTAGACACCAGGACAGTTATAGCCCCTTCTGCCTCAAATGTCAAAGCTGACTCTGACAAGGTTTTTCAAAAAACCAAACCCAATCAAGACTGCAAGCTCAATTTTACCACTGCATCCTATTGCCAAGGTAATCCTGAGACGCCCTTTCTTTAGCTACTTGAAGAAAAGAAATCACCGTGGAACCTTTATTTTGGAATTTAGATTGTAAGAACTGATTTAAAATTTAGACAGCTACAAATAATCCAAATAATCCTACTTTCTCCAGTCCTGTATAAGACTAGCTGCTTCTATTTCTGAATGTCAAATAAGCAGCTTAACCAATTAATGCTCTATACTTCACAGCCCCCAAGCTGGAGGCTTCTGACCTTTCAAGGGACGTAAGTCAGAATTCTATTCTTAAAGATAAACATATTAAAACAGCAACAAAGATGTATTTTTTAGTCAAGAAATTTTACACACACATAGACATTCACAATTATTTAAAGTCACGTATTTGTTTTACCTTTGAAAGGAAGAGAGTCATAAAGTTATTGCCCCTGCATGAAGGATCATGAAACAGAAAGAAATCAGTTTCTTAAAAATTGCTAACATGTTTTTATTGTGGCCTTTAGCTAAAGATCAACCGCTACTGAAATACAATCCTTTTAGGCCTTCCGAATAAAGTTGGGAAGACTAGAAATTAGCTCCTTACATATGAAAAGTACATTTCTGTTGGTATGACTTCACTTTTGGAGTAGCACAGCATATAAAGCTCATTTATTTAGTTACCATTAAAACAAAACACCTCTGAACTAAATTCCTGGTGCTACTCACTGTCCGAATCCTTCCTTTATTAAGATGAGGCCCATACTTTTCAGATGTTCTGCCAGCGATTGCAAAGATATAGAGGGCATCAGTTCAAGCAATGGACAGCATTAGTGGCCACTGAAGGAACTCTTGATAATAGTTTCTAACCACCCAAGAGACCTAAACCAAGCAGGTTGTCAAGAAAAACTACCTGAAAAGAAAAACTTGTAAGCCTTGTGCAGGAGGACCACAAAACCAGAGTTTATAACAATACATACCGTGCTGCTGAGAACGACAGGAACAGTATAAGGCAGACAGCAGCAACTGACCCAAATCCAACAGCAGTCATATATTGCAGAGTGGGTGATAAATCTGAAAGAAAATATCAAACAATTCAAATGAACAAATATAAAAAATAGTGTAGCTTCTGTCTGGTGACTGAATTGAGTCTGCCCAAAGCTAAAGCACTATAACAAAACTCAGGTGCTGCTCAGTCAAGTAGTAATGGAGGTGACTAGCAGTCAGCTAGTAGTTAGTGTCCAGTTGAGGAAGTAAGATTAAATGGTGTATTTCTCAAAGTGATTATACTTCTCCATCCCTCAGTTTCCTGCCTTTTTCTTTTTTTTTTTTTTTTATTCAGACACTCAATGTCAACATTTTCCCCTCTCATCACTGGCAATTTCAGTCTAAATTGTATGCCAAGGTGGTCTCTGGCGCCAGAAAATCCTAGTACTTCATTAAATGGCTCAACGTATCTCCTTCAAAATTTTTAAGATCTGCGCACAATTCATCTTCCCCATTCTTCCTCCTCCCCCCTCCCCCTCCCCCCAAGTGACAGAATAGAAATAAACCTGGCAATGACAGCCTTACCCAAGCTCATAATACCAGAAGCCACACAGGGACAGAACAGAAGGCTTAGTGATTTGCTGTCAAAACCAGAATTACTAAGAACTACTGGTGAAGGTAACCTGAGAAAATAGAAATTAAACCCCTTTCAGCCACCTCTATCTCATTTTCAGCATTTGTCAAAGGTTACCTATTTCTTACTGGATTTCCCACAGACATCTAGGATACTGGATCTTATTCCTGCAAGATTCCACAACTCTACTTGCTGTTAAATCTTGCAAGCATGAGTATTTAATGTTTAGCAAAAATGTAAATCTTTGCAAAAATGGCACTTATTCCGTGAAATTACCGTATATACCCACGATGAGAATCCAAGTGCCTGAATGTCAGAAAAGCAACTTCTATTATTTGAATTTAACTCTTTTTTGGCTCATTTGAATGTACAGGCACAAAACTGGCTGAGCATTCACCCGAAACACCCTCAACAATTGATGTGAAGCACAAAAAAATCATACAGAGCCATAAGGAGAACCTGACCAGTTTACCATCTTTGCCTAACACTGCTCAGTGAAGCAAGGCTTGTACCTGTGCAGCACCGCTCACCTGTAAACTTACTGTGAGTCTGACAAAGTAAAGAATTTCAGACAGGGACCCTACAAGGAAAATCTGTTCAACCTACAAGCATGTTCAGTTTTGGTAAAAGTTATACCTGTCCTTGTATCAGTGTAACACCAGTTTCCATAAGCAAGTTATGCACCTCTAGAGCAGATGTCAGCCCTCCATAAAAATGACAGAACTGTCTTCCCTACGCATTGTAGAGTATTTCTGGTGAAAAACCCTGAAAATTCATTTTACTTATTTGTGACAGAAGGAAGCGTGCTTTTAACAGCTTTCTACCACTTTTTATGACAATGATTTATCATACAATGTGTAGCTTTGTCTAGACGGCATCTGAAACAGGCCCATTTGGTTTAGATTTAATTTACAGATTTGCCTTCCACACAAGTTGAATTAAGAAATACTCCTTAAAGGATTCAGTGAGCCAAAAATACTCTCAGCTTCTCCAGCTGCAGAAGTACATTAGGCCAAGGACGCTGTGTGGCTAGAAGTCCATTCAATAGAAAGGCAAATGGATTTACAACAGAAAGCCAAAGCCCTCACCTGTCCTACTCCCATCTTCCAATGCCCATTCTCTTCATCCCAAAACCAAAATCCACCTATACGTAAGACAGCCTCTGACGATGCTCTATAAGCTGATAAATGACAAATTCAGAAAAGGACAGTTTTCTGTCTTTCCAGAGTTATTTTACAGCTCTTGCCTATACAGCTTTAGCAATAGAGCCCTCAAACCTAGGGAATCCTTCATCTTAGCCAAGTTTCTACAACCACAAACTGCCTAATTATATTCTAAGTATGGCGGTAAATGAACTAGGTCACAGGAGTAAACAACAAAAGGCAACCTAGAAATAAACACACAGTTGTCACCAGAAGATCAGTAATAGCAATAGTCAGACCCAGGTTTTGTGAACAGTGGAGGAGATGCACCTCAAGCACTCCAAGCATCACATGATTTATTATCATTCCAAAGTATTGTCTCACTCTCCATTGTCACTGCATTTCCTAACTCCAGTTTGTGAGTCTTTCAACTCAAAAGCAGAATTTAGAGTTTGTAGGGGACTCCAGTGGTGCCACTTTCTTTGTCAGGAGAGGTAAATGTTTGCTTTTTGCTGAAACATGATGAAATGGGTAAATGTTAAATGGAAAGAGAGTACTTTCCACCATGGTGGAAAGGAGGGAAACGTGATCTCTAGTGGATTCCAAACTCCTCTGAGGTAAACTCATTCAACTGGAAACATTTTACAGTCAAAAAGAAAAACAAAGATAAAACCATGCTGAGAAATTCACTGGCTTCTAAAATTGTGCCATTATACCTTTAAGAAACTGTACTTACAAGCACAAAAATGAGCCATATTTTTCATTTTTACATGGTGTCTTTTATTTTCCAAAGTTCATAAAAAGGACTCAATCCTCCAAGGACTGCCTGAACATACCAAAATAAATAATGTGGCTTCTAAAAGCCAGAAAATGTTTTAAATATCTTTAAGACAATACAGAACTATCTTAAAACAGGCTTCTAAAATTTTGCATCTTCTGTGCTTCAAATCCTTTGTGCACAAAAATTGTTGTAAAGATTTGGATGTGATGTATAAAAAGAGTAATACTGAAAAGCAGGGAGAAACTAGAGAATCCATTTTAGAATAGCTTACTGAATCCATCAGAATGGAATACCAAAGTGCAAGGCAAATCTGCCTCTAACCTTTCCAATCCTCAAAGTCAACTGACCATTAACGGCAAACGAAGAAATAGCCACAGCAATTATTAGTTTATGCTGCCAAGCAAAGCCATGACAACTTGTGTTTTCTCATTGAAGGGAAAATTGACTTACTTTTAATTTGTGCCCAAACAGCACAGGACTGTGTTCTCACCTGAAAATGAAAACATAAAAATCACTGTTTCTCATGAGAGAAATTTATTATCACTAACACCCTCTGCAAGAGCAGCCATCCACAACTTACTATATTTTATTACTATTGGGAATGGAGTTTGTTACTCCCCTGGTAGCAGCCTCTAGCTTGTCTGAAAAGATTATAAAGATAAGATTAGAGATAGAGCTTTGATGAAAGCCTGGTTCTAGTCTTTTAAATCATCACTCTTCCTTTCTTTCTACAACCTAGGCATGCAAGTAACATGGAAGGATCTTTGAAGCTGCTTGGATAAGAATTCAGAATTTATGAAATGCTAAGATAAGGCTGAATATGCTGTATTAACTCTATCCCCATGTAGAATATATATGTTAAAATACGGTACTTAATGGCATGTTTTTCAAATACTAGATGCAGGATTTTTTCCAGTTATGACAACTTGCTTGGTAATTTTTAACAATTTTTACAGAATACTTAATGTTCATCGTAGTTGAATAAATGTTTATCAGGGGTCTGCTTTTGCAGACTAGATTAACAAGTTTGGTTTTTTTATGGTAAGCTTTGGTCCCTGTAGAGCTTTTTTCCCCCAGCACTTCACACTCATACATACACAAGAAGTTCTATTCTAAGTTCTATTGTCTATTGTATTATTACTGTGAAGTCTATTTTTGTAGTGCTTCTATACGTACTTTCCTGCTAAATGACTTTCACAGAATACATACACATATATTTCTCATGTTTTGGCAAAATGTGTATTATGTTGCTCTGGATAACAGTATGTTTCTATGAAATTGAAGGCTACATTTTGAAGTGTTTGCACGAAAGGACAAAGGCATATTTGTATGCCTCATCTTACTTTTGTGTGTCTGCATGCTGAATTGTGGAATCTCAGTGTTTCTTAAACTCATTTTTTTATAAGGAATTTTCTGGTTATTTAAAAAGACAAAACACTGACAAAGAAAATACTCTTAGGTGAGGGAGAATAAAGGACAAAGAGTGGATTTAAAAACTCAACCAAATGCCAGATTCTGGAGGCACTGGTGTGAGTGCCATCATCTTGCAATAGCTACCTCCATGACATGCTAGTTTGCAGGAAATCAGTCATCTCCTACCTATCAGAGAAGCTACAGAGCTCTCAGGAATCTCAGCAGCAAAGTTCACTGATCTGCACCTTATACTACATCAAATTATAAATCCCTTCCTCTGGTGAATTAGCACCTTGCCAGAAAGTTATCAGTGAAATTACTCCTCCAAATACTTGAGTATCCATGGATCTCAAAGTCCGTATTTCAACCTGGATATTCACAGGTAGCTAAACTGCAGCTAGAAACCCCTTCCACAGCTACACACTTAAGGAGCGTTCTGGAGGAAAGAGAAAACATTTTGCCAGGCATATACACTTTTCTCAGATGATTTTATTAGGTTAATTTTAACAGACTTTTCTCACAGTAGGGGTCAGTTTGATTCCATTTTTCCAAAAGGCTCACAGCTTTTTTCCTGAAAAGACTGCATGTTATCTTCACCTTTCACAGTCCTGCTTTTACTTCTGTTGCATGCACAAACTGTTTGATCCAAAAACGCTGATGCTGATACTGAACAAAAGCTATGGTAAAGAAATTAATCTCAAATAAGTTTAAACTCCAAACACGTTTTTTAGTTCTTGCCCTTCACTATGAGCCTTGGCTCTCTGCACAGCATGGAATCCATAAAGTAATCATTGGAGATTAAAATAGGTACCAGATGGGTTTCAGTTATTTAATTAGCAGTATCTCTCATGGAAAAGGACACTTTCCAAGGTGGACAATTTGTTCCACTTAAGCAAGGTTTTCATGATATGACAGTAAATTTTCATTTGTTCCCAAATCCTCCCTTGGTGTCCATCATCCCTATATTCCAGTTGCCAAATTCATCGATATGAAAAATGGTAATTTCTATTAACTCAGACTTCCTAACTGCTTTCCTTGTACAACCCTAACAATCTCCTCAGATCATCTGACCAGTCTTTTAACACCTCTGAATGTCCTGCACAAATGAAATATGCGTTTTAAATCCTCCACCTTGAAAAATAATCAGAAAGTAAAAACCGCACAGCAGACACCTTTCTCAGGACCTCCAAATCTGAGCAAGGGATAAATGAACGTGGACTCAATAAAACGGAACAGCTTACTTCTCTTAACTGTGTCCACACAGTTTTATCTGAACTGATTTTCCCACCCTTACCACTAAGAAAATATGTCAGGTATATTGAGGAATAATGACAATAGGAAGTCACAACCAAGCCATGATTTTGCAGCATGTATGATACAAATTGTACCATTCTCAGCATGAAGGGGTCTGGAGCCAGAAGGGGCTCTGGAGGATGCCAGAACATAAAAGTACAATAATGAGAACATTAGTTAGGAGTCTATGACATGTATTTTTAATGCGTCTGTATTCAAATGGAAATGTGTTCACAAGTAAATACACTACAGAAACGCTGATTTCACATGTATTAATAATTGGGAGCCAATTAAAGAACAGATTTTTTTAAAAAGCAGACTTTTAAATACTAACTCTTGAATCCAAATTCAGTTACTGAAGCAATCAGATTTTCAGAAATTCTCAAAACCCAACAACCCTCAATTTGTAATTCCAAATTTCTTTAACTTCTTAATACCAACAATTGTACAAAATATAAGGGCATGTAAAAGATAAACCAATACTTTTGAGCCACAGGTCTAAGTTCCATTTCAAAGAAGCAGAGCGGGGAACCAAAGCTGTTTGGTATTTGCAGTCCTAATAATAATTTATAAATGTTGTATGTAACTTGGTGTACTTCATCAAGTTACAAAAGCCATACAGGAAAGTGTATACTAAAGAGCTGATGCATTCTAAATGGAAGGAAGTGAAGAGCGACTTCTACAAATAACAGTAATAATATTCCATTAAATCAGTGGCCTAGAAAAGACATCTGGCAATGCTAGAGATGAAACATCAGGAAATAATCTATATGAAAGAAAAGAATAATGTAACTTTGAAGCAGTTTAACAGCTGGCAGAGATGCATAAGCAATCTGCACTGTTCTGTGCAAGAAAAGCCTCAACACAAGTTGGAACAATAGGAAATGTTCCCCAGTATCAGAAAATATTGAAG